GTATACAGAGAATGTCAAGTCAAGTCACCTTTATTTATAGCGCTTTACACAATACAGTTTCAAAGCAGTGATAACAGTAAGATAATGCAACAGGAAATAATGTGTTTCGGCTGTTGTTTAGCAGTGTTGAGTGAATACTGTGGTGAGGTCACATTCAAAGTCCTCTAAGTGCAATAAATACATAGGAGGGGGATGTTTAAGTAGTTTAAACCTAAGTACAGATATGACATAAATTACTCAATCCCACCTTAATAGTGTCTGATTACAGCAGTGACAATTAAGTACAATTCATTTCCTCTGCGGATCCCACTCAGGGGTAAAGACTAAATTACCGCTTAGGATGTTAGTATGTCATTACAGGTCCTGTTTTTAGCAGGGTCCCAAGACAACAATCATTAAGCTGTTTAACTAATGTTTAGTGTAAGAAATGGTTTCAGTAAAGGATGTACAGCAGCTTTAAAGGAGTAGTTCACTTTTTTAAAAAAACTTTTGCTGATAATTTACTTACCCCCATGTCATCCAAGATGTCCACGTCTTTCTTTCTTCAGTCGAAAAGAAAATAAGGTTTTTGATGAAAACATTCAAGGATTTTCTCCATATAATGGACTTCAATGGGAACCAAACGGTTCAAGGTCCAACTGAGAGTTTCTGTTCAGCTTCAAAGGGCTTTAAACGACACCAGACGATGAATAAGGGTCTTATCTAGAGAAATGATTAGTCATTTAAAAAAAAAAAAAAAAACTTTACGTTTTATAAGCACAAATGTCCGCCTTGCTCTGTTCTGTGATGAGCGTTCGTGACTCTCCGGCTCAAACTCGTTCATCAAAATGAACAAATCTTTTTTCGAGTCATGACTCGAAGGGTCCTAGATAAGACCCTTATTCATCGTCTGGTGTCGTTTAAAGCCCTTTGAAGCTGAACAAAAACTCTCATTTGGACCTTGAACCGTTTGGTTCCCAATGAAGTCCATTATGGAGAAAATCCTGGAATGTTTTCATCAAAAACCTTCAGTTATTTTCGACTGAAGAAAGAAAGACGTCGACATCTTGGTTGACATTGGGGTGAGTAAATTATCAGCAAAAGTTTTTTTTTTTAAAGTGAACTACTCCTTTAAATTATAAAATAATAAGAGCAGTAAATGTGTTCATTTAGTATGGTCACTTTCCATAAAATCTCTTAAAATAAATATTTTTTTCTTCTTTCTTTCTTTTAATCCAGTGGTTGTCTCCCTTTGGTCTCTGAAGCACTGTGAGCAGTTTCTAAGCTGAGTGCACTGAGATGTGGAGGATTTGGAAAGCGAGATCATAATTCGCCTCTTTGGGCACCTTTACGCATCACGGCAGATTATTTCCTGTCATGTTCATTGACAGCTTCCTGCTGCTCATTTTTTGCTGCTTCCTTTTGATCTTCCAAAATCCCTAAGCTGCTGAAGTTACCGTCTTCATCCAAAGACGAAACGTCCAAAAGCATTTGCTTTGTGGAGCTGAAAATGCCGTCCAACGCTAAAAACAAGAGATTTTGGCTTCTGTGGAGTCTCATCTTTCGCTTTCATATTCTACATAATAGAAGTAGTGTCTTCTTTTATGAATTTCTTGCTGGTATAGTCGGTTTCCTGGCGGGTTGACTGACGGGTACAAATGAGTTCTTTGTATATCCCACAACCTTCTGAAGTTTTGCTGATGTCACTCACGAACAGATAAGAGAGCGCGGGAAATGTTCTAACCTCCCTTTGTTCAATTTCACACGCTTTATGAAATGTCAGGTCTGGCTTCTCATCTGAGCGCAACGCGGGCATAAACAACAAGAATTTGAGCGTTACCTGTTCTGTTTATTCTAGGCATCGCAACAAAACACAAGCTTTGATCTACAGTAACACCTTCCCCAGTGGCCGGTTCAGACATCCAGTGATCTTTTTGGGCTCTTTTTTTTTTTTTGGCAGTGTTGGTTCAGACACATTTCCCAGCGAGTACTAGAGTAATTTACTTCTCAATGTCGACTAATGAGAGTTCTTGATCTCCTGACCTCTCTTGGCCCCCAAAATCAATATGGCACTCAATGGAGTCAAAGCCATAAAGGCTTAATTCTTTTAGTTTTTTACATTTAGGGTTCCCTCGCCAGAGGAAAAGACTTCATCCTTCTGTTTGATTTGTTGGAGCAGCTGTGTAAGCTATAATAAGAACATTAAACATCTCAGCCTGACCTTAACCAAGCGATTGACTGTTCCACATCTTTCTTTACAGTATAGGTCAGAATGCTTGAATCAAATGACGCACCCTGGGAGACTCTAAATACCGTGTGAACATTTCCCAGCCTAAGCTGAAGTGTGTATGAGATATATTAGATATGCCAAATACCACTTTGACTATCATCTGATATTAGAGGTTTTTTTTATTTATTTATTTTTTATTATTGTATGGATGTTTGTTGATATTGTATATAAATTGCATCTTCTTTCCTCTATTTTTAACCTTTAGAATAGCTTTTGCAGTCGTTAAACACTCACTTAAAGTTAATGTATAAAAAACAATACTAATTTGTTATTATTATACTAAATATAATCTTAAAGCCAATATTTAAGGTCAGTATTTTTATTTATTTTTTGGAGTGGGTTATGGTTTTATTCAGCAAGGATGCATTTAATTAAACAAAAGGGACAATAAAAGACATTTACAGATGATTGCTATCTCAAATAAATGCCATATTTCACAAAAATATTAAAAATAATACATTTCTTGAGCAAAAAAAAAGAGCATTTTAGAATGATTTCTGATTCTGAAGGATCACAGACACTGAGAACTGGAGTAATGATGCTGAAAATTCAGCTTTGCCATTAATTATATTTAAAAATATATGAAAATAGAAAACAGTTATTTTTAAATTGTAAGAATATTTCATAATATTGCTGTTTTAGGGCAGGCTACTGTATGTTTGAGCAAACTAATGCAGCCTTGGTGAGTATAAGAAATTGTACGAACCCCAAACTTTTGAACGGTACAGTATCCAATATTCATTCATTCATAATTAAAACAATTCATTGTATTATAGAATTATCATCAGCCATTTATCTTTACGGTCGTATTATTATGTTATGGCTGCATTTTATATTGTATTGGCCCAGATTTTAGCATAAACTTAAAAATGTAAAGAGTCCTGCAGGTCTGGAGTACATTTCTGATATCAAAAAGTAAAATGACAGAATAATAGATTCAAGTGAACCAGATATTGAGCACAAAATGGAAACCGTAAGACATTTTTGGTGACACAGAGATCTTTCATCTGTTGCACTTGGCTGCATGAGAGCTCTGTATCTTTCCAGAAGTGTCATTTATGCATCTCTGATCTCTTAACCCTCCATGTTAGAGCTTTGGGAAATGAGGAAAGCGAGAGAGATGGAGGTGTAGATACTGGTGTGTTTGGAGGTTAAAGGAAAGGTGTCTCTCCAGTCACCTGACAGAGGCAGTGCAGTGGAGTGAGACCACATGACAGATTGAGGGCATGGTGAATCGCTTCAAACCACAATCCCATCTCATAAGAGGGTTTCAAACAAGCCAATGCTCTCCAAGGAGAAGGCCTTTTGTGTGGATTTACACACTCCCCACTCAGTGTCAATTTTGTGCCACAAATGTGAATGTAAGCCAAACAGGAAAAGAGTAGAAGAGCTTGTTGTACTGTAGGCTTCATCAAACTAACAGAATGATAGATTCATGTGAACAAGATACTGAGCACAAAATGGAAACACGTTTAATGAAAATGTGTTCCTACAGCTAAATCAGGCTAGATTAATGCAAAACCAAATAATAAATGCTTAAAATAAAATAATTACTACGCATTTAATTAAGTATAACTTCTGGCCTTTAAATACGTATTGTGATTCTATAAGGACTCTGAATAAAATTACTTTCGGTGTTAAAATAATATGTTCTTAAAACTAAAAAATGTGATGCAATGTGGACATTTTGATCTGTCTCTCAAGTGAAAATTGTAAATTATTATTTTATATACACCTTTATAAATAAAAGTAATGTTAATAATTTTAAAATAAGTTACTTTATTTTATATACTGTACACACACTTGTGCTATTAAGTAAATGTGATGTGTAATATTTTTTTCAATATATTTTAATACTTTTTTTCCACACTGCTAACTCTAAAAAATGCTGGGTTGTTTTTACCCAGTTTTGGCTAAAATATGGAGAAAAAAAACAGCCATTGGGTTAAAAATTTAATTTAAAAATGTAACCCAATGGCTGGGTTTGTCCATATTTTACCCAAAATTGGGTTAAAACAACCCAGCATTTTTAGAGTGTAAATACTAATATTAAGTGAACTATTTACATTGTGTAATATTAGTTTTACAATATTACCAGTCTAATAGATTTATGTATAGTAAATATATTTAATTATCAACCACTCAAGGTGTGGTGTACAACTTTATGAATAATGTGCTTTACAGGTTTGCTGAGCTTCCTGTGGGTCAGATTGCATACTAATGGCCCACTCTCTATATTAAAGCATTTTACCACTTCTATGTGAAAGCATCTTCATAATTTCCGTTTTGGGTAGGGTGGAAACAGAGCAAAAGTGGGTCGACAAGGTACATCTGACTTTGAGATATGTACCCTACTTTCTCCTTCCACAAAGCAACAACAAATCACCTCATCTATATCTTTAGGTCTACCGAGAGCTTGCCCGAAATAAATGAATGAAATTGCAACATATTGTGTAACAACTATATCTGGCTTTGACTTGACCTTAGCAAGTTGGGGCTGAGCAAAGGACATCATTAGGTCGGGGATGATTACTGTTTGCACTGTTTACAAAGTGCTTGTTTCAACAGTAATGGTTAAATTATACACTTATTTGTACTAAGAATGTAATTTTGTCAAGCAAATATGACAGTTTGAGATGTTAATTCTAGTTTGAGTTTGTAGTCTCCTCTAATCACAGTAGTGGCATTTCTTAAATGCATCTTCAAATGTACAGTGAAGCCATGTACTCACGTAGAGAGTGCCATTCATCCTGACGTATGGTCTTGGTGATGTTGTAAGAGAGATTCTTGGGTATTGTGGCTGAGGAGTAGTGATACTTGATATAGGAGCATCTGGCAATGGACCCTGCAAGTAGAGAAGGAGAAAAAATGAGTTTAACACTGGTAAAATACGTTATGCTCATGGATAAACAGACAAACTAGAAACTATTCGTGTTTATAGTGAAATTGTTAGTGAATAGTATGTCTAAAATGCTGACAGTGTTGGGGAAAATTACTTTTACAAGAAATGAGTTACAATATTACGCTACTTCCTAAAAAAGTAACTCCTTACAGGTAACACTTTACTTGAAGGGGTGTGGATAAGACTGACATAACACCTTCATAACCATGACATGATATCAGTGTCTTTGTCATGACAACTTGACATAAAATGAAGTTAAACTGTCATGTGGTTGGCTTTGACATTGGCTGTCATGAGGCATTATAACTGTGTCATGAACATTTTTCGTGACCTCAACTACAGTGGTACTAATTGAATTTGTCATTAAAACGTTAGAATGGCTTCATGACAGCCAATGTCAAAACCAACCACCTGACAGTTTAATAATGTTAACCAGTAAAGCTAGGTGCTTTCTTAAGTTTGATAATTAATCTGCTATGTCATGTTTATAATAGGTTGTGTTGTCTTAGTAATGTCAAGTTGTCATGACAAAGACACTGACAGGTTATGATGTTATGGTTTATGTCAAGGTGTCATGACAAAGACATCTCAAACAATGTCATATTTGTATTGAAAATGTCATAACTGAGTGAATGACGCTTAATGGGAGTTGTCACAAACATGCATACAACTTCATATTCATAACACGTAACATGTTAGTCTTATGCACACCCCTTCAAGTAAAGTGTTACCATAATGGCATTACTTTTTATGGAAAGCAAAGTATTACATTACTTTTGTATTACATTTTCTCACATGGCTGAGGCTCGCTTTCCTCCAGGCATTGCAGGTGTTTTTACAGAGAAGTTATTTTTGGAAGGGTTTACTTAAACAACATATCTTATATAACATAAACCTTCATTTTCATAAAAAAACAAAAATAAAAAAAAGAACCTTAGAATATTTCTGTATTATGACCCCTTCAAATGATTCCCGACCACTAATGCCATCCACAAAAGATCCACCATAAGATTACACTGTACAACTCATTTGAATTAAAAATGTTTTATTACTTTTGAACTTTTCGTCTGTTCCCCACGCATGCATGAGTGTGCGTCTGTTATGGAGAAGAGAGAGAATTTTAATTCAGTAGTTTAAAAAATGTTAATTGAAGTGAAAAGTGATGTGCATTACCTAAAAAAAAATAATAACTCAAATTAAAGTGGGTAAAGTAAAACATCGTTACAATAAAAAAGTAATCTGTTTACATAATGCACATTACCCCAACACTGCTGATAAATATGACAAGATAACATCAGTCAACTTAAAGATTACAGATCCCATTTTTCAGCATCCCAGGAGGCTTTTTCAACATTTACAAAGTTGTGTGATTTTGTTTCTCTCCGTTTCTAATCAAACAGAGTTTTCCTGTAGCTTGTCACATCTCTAAAGCTTTGAGGAATGAGTTATGCGGCATCGTGTCGTGTCTGAAATGATTTCATTTGGGAGCATTTGAAGCGCGTTTGTGAATGATATGGCCTTTAGAATGAGGTTTGCACACATCCTCCCCTTTAGAAAGGAAGGTGATGTGCTCGTGTGTCTTCAGAGCTCACGCACATGCACTGATCAGCAGTGGAAATGGGGCTGACAAAGATAATGATACATATTTCTGTCCTAACGGTACACACCAGCAATCATTCCAGCTTGCACTATTGTCCAGGATATCATTTCCTGTTGATTATGAAACTCTGCAGATAGAAAATGGCAGCCTGTACCATCCAGAAAAGAGAATTATCGTCCCAGTGCTCTGCTCTGTCTTCCCTTATCTCATTCCTCCAGGAACCACTCGACCAACTAAAATCTATGTTGTGTTACTGAGGGAAGTTCTATAGTGTCACATTGATTAACAAATCATTAGTGTCAGAAGTTGAGAATGGATACGCTTGCAGTGGAACTCTACTAGTTTCATTGGCCGTAAAGTTGCGAGCCAACACATTATATTTATTTAGGGGTGTAACAGCTACTTGCATTTGTTTTTTATTTATTTTATTTTTTTTATAATCATATTTGTTGTGATTTGATGATTTTACTATGTGTAGTGCCACAGTATTTCAATTAATCTGCAATGGCTAACTTATAGGTGTCTTTGCACACTGTGTGGGATAGAAAATGTTTTTTTAACATCCAAATAAAATGACAAATTTAATGTTTAAACATGGATTTAATGAGCTACTCCACGAACATCTCCTGTTACACAGGCTTGTAAGACAGATTGTTCTTGGCCCTATGCATCCCTGTGGGGTAAAAGCTGATCGGGTCAGCGACCGAGTGTAAACCAAAACCATCTTTCTTCCAGGCTGACCAGACAGCATGTGTTCCTGGGTATAGATTTTTTGATGGCCCAAGCCTGGGAGAGTTGAATAGATTTTAAATACTCCATAGAAATCTAAGGGCATAGGAGAATGTCACTGGGAGCACAGTACTTTGATTTGGACGTGTGACTCAAATACAGAATTGCTTAGTTTAATTGGGGACATTGAATTGTGAGCCTTCCATCCATTTTTACACCTTTCAACATTGTATAAATGGTAGTGTAAGCCTAATAGAGTGTTTTGTCAAGTAAAAAAAAAAAAATGTTAAGTTACACTCCCAGCATTCTCTAAAGTCCTGCTACAAGCCAGTCAATGAAAGGTCACTATACCCTTGGCTTCCCTTGACGCCTTGCACTGTTAGCACCAGGACTGTTTTTGATCAATTTTGAGCGAGTTATTTATGTTTCTTTGACAGGCTGACTAATTGATCCTATTTGTATATTAGGACTGTCAATCAATTAAAAAACTGAATTACATAATACACTGATTAAGTAATCTCTCTCTCTCTCTGTATGTATATGTAAGTATAAGACCATGATCCGAATCCGTCGTTCCATCACATCCCAAAGATGCTCTATTAGATCTGGACATTGTGGAGGCTGTGCTTAAATGATGACCATGTGTGCCAAGAAAATATCTCCACACCATTACACCAGTAGCTTCAACTGTTGATAAAAGGCGGGATGGATTCATACTTTCATTGTTTACATCCAACTATCTGAATGTCACCGCAGAAATCAAGGCTCATCAGACAAGGCAAGGTATTTCCAATCTTTTATTGTCCAATTTTGGTGAGCCTGCACGAATTATGGCCTAAATTCGACTGCACTGGTCACTTTATTAGGTACACCTAGTATAGCGGGTTGGACCCCCCTCTTTTTACAATTCATAATTATTTTAAAACATAAATACATGTTTTAATATAAAGTATATATGCTTATTATCATGTTTTGTACTAATTAATTGTTAAATAGTTAGCTAGTGCTCATGTATATTTTTACAATGGCTGCCTTTTTCATTTCATTTTGTACAATTTTATATGCAGTACAAAGAGAGACTCAAGTACAGGCTACTATTTCTTTGGCAAACTCTACTGTGCTGTCTGCTTTTCTGCTCATTGTGCTAATCTAAAGTCTGCAGACAGGCATTTGGGAGACTGGAAGAGTCTCTTACTTATTTATGAATCTCCAGCCTGTCTTACTTTGCGTATAGAGAGAAAAGGGACATTTTTAGATTTCATTTTTAATTTTTTACCCTGAAGGGTGATATTTTTTTTTAACCCCGCAAGGGCATTTTCAGCTGTTTACTCCAGGATTAATCACTGCCATTATCCACAAATAATGTGTCTGCTCAGCCGAGTTTTAAAATAAATAAATAAATGGATTTTAAATAATCCATTTGCGACACGTTTCACACATTGCCAACCGAAGTGCGAAGGTACAGTTACAAAATTAATCACCCTTGAACCTCATCTTTAAATTTCCTCTGGATCCTTTGGAATGTCATTTTGCCATTTTTCCAATGTCTTTGTCAATAATTCATGAGCCCTTCTTCACTTCACTTTTTTTACTCCTTCTGGCCAACATATGCCTCCCAATGAGCAAAACCTTTCTAAGAAAAACCTCAGATAAAAAATGTTGACAACTCAGTGTTATACTTGAGGAAGGACTGCATGTCAATAAGGTAACTGATTACAAATAGCCTAAATCCATCAATCAATGCTGTGTGGTGTACCATAAAGTTACTGAGGTTCATGCAAAGTCACCAGTGTTGCAGCTTTAATATTGCAAAGGGGATTAACTTTATATCTCCTTTAAAAGTGGCACAGAGATATAACACATTATTTTTTAGGTAATATGAGAGCAGAAGTTAATATGCTAAATAATAAAACGGTGTGCCACAATTAGGCACATATATCCATAATCCATATATTAAATAGGCTAACTCTATTTTATTTTAGCAATTAAAGTAAATTACTTTATTTTTTATATAAGTAATTTTGTTAAAAGTTCAATTGTGTCTATATACTTTTTATACATTTTTATTTCAGGCATTTTAGTACATGAAGCTAATCTAAATGAAAATATATTTTTTATAATTTTAATTTGGAAAACGAAAATATTTAGCCACAGAAAGTCACGTTTGACCAATCAAAAACTATTCAAGAGACCTTAATAGATGTATATAAACATCTGACATACTTTAAGTAATTGTACATCCCCATGGATTTGATGTGAGAATGACTTCAAGACTGCTTTAAGTAAAAAAAAAAGAATGTCAAATTGTAGCAGTGGATTAATCTTGAATCTTGACCTCTCTGTCAGGAGATGTTCGGCGTCAGTGCAGCAGACTCCAGGAGTGTAGTGCGCACACACTGACCTGAACCGAGGGCTGTATCCGCTAGTAACGTGGAGGCGAGAATGATCAGGTGCTGGGGATGATGTGATGCTTTTAATATTTATTTCCATTAATCATAAACTCCCCCCTCTGCGACAGGCCTGTAGCCATACTGCCGCCATGTGCTGCAATTCCCTTTGTTCAGTGGCAAGCATTACTCATCATTACGCTGTTCATGTTGCCTTCTTGTTCCGA